TGCTGCTGATTAGACAATTTCAGTAAATTAGCAGACCACTGAACATACCATGAGCAAATTCGGTACCATAAGTATATTATCCAAGCATTCCATTAAAAGAGGTTTCATTGCACCGGTCGGCGAAAGCATCAAAAGCCAGGCACACTGCAAAATACCGAAAATATCTAAAATTAGATTGGCAGCAACTTGCGCAAATGGTTAATCCAAGAAAGATGAGCATTTCTGGCTCAACTTTCCATCTGTTGACCAAAAAAGTGCAGGCCAAAAGCTTTTCTGATTTGACCCGCCTGAACGGGTAAGCAGAAGCAACTTACACCACACCACCAACAGTAACCAGGAGCTGGCAAGGCGGGCGATTGCGGTCCCTTTCGAAGGTTACCTAGAAGCAAGCTCTCGAAGGTTGCCTGGAAGGATAAAACAGAAAAAAATATAAAAAGCTAATTACCCGATCAATTGTTTCCTTCAGTCGCGACTGATCCGTAGATAAATTGGCGTGATCCCGCAAAGCTACCAAAAGCTTGCTCACTTCCGTTCCAAAATCCTGAAATCAATGTTTCGTTTAAGAAAACTTTAGCAGTCTGTGAACTGTAAAATGCATAAAACATCTATTGATACATCTCGAATTCCCTCTTCAAAACCGCTCTGCCAAGGAGAAACTGGAGTTTTCCATGGTAATATCAGAAAATACAGGCGAACTAGCTGATCGGGACTGTCTTTGTTACCTAGGAAAAACGGCATTTGCAACGCACTGCTTCACAGGGACCAAAAAATTTTTGGAGGGCTAAAGCCTTGCCAAGTGCCCTTGCGTAAGAGAACATTTGAGCTGGTAATCTCTTCAAAAAACGAAATTAACGCGAATAACTGATTATCAAGATGCTGCATATGAACTATACCATGAACTAACAGCAACTGCGGGTCTGTATGGCCCTTTCCAGTGATAAAGGGAGAAGGCCGAAAGTTGTCCGTGACGAAGGTAGCAACAGCAGAGAAAAGGACGCTTGGAGAGTTTCAAACATCGACCACACGCTTCGCCAGAGATCGATTATCTAATGGACTAAGTAAAAAAAAAATGGCAAGCGCACCGACTCCCGGTGCGAAGATGCGTTCTTTGCACGGTTCGTTCCCCGCAGAAATTTTTGTAGCTAACGGCACTGCTTTTTTTCCAACAGACGCTTCTAGCTAAAAGAATTGAGACTGGCCGCCAGGGCTGTCAGGAAATATCCTCTTAAAGCTTAGCTTTCTAGCTTTTCTGGCTTCGGAGTTAGCAACTTACTCGAGAAAAACTATGGCTGGCCTGTGCGTGGGTGTCACGCATACCTAAAGGCTGGGTTTGAACTCATTAATAACTACCCTTGGATGAGGAACATCTTCTTAAAATTCCAGTCTTCTAGCTTTTTAGATTTCCGAGTAAGCAACTTATCCGAAAAAAGCATTGGCGGGCCTGTACGTGGGTATCACGCGGATAAGAACGCCCATTTTGGAGACGGTACGTACACACATGTAGATTAAACCCCCAAAGTTTCAGCCTTCTCAAGATGAAAAATCGGTACAAACGCGCTGCGCACACACAGACAACCCCTCGTCAATATGCGTTTTCTGCATTGCACAGATGTAAAAAACATAAAAAGTTACCACTGCCTGTTACAACAGTGGGCCGCCGCGTACTAATGAGTGCTATGCGTGAAAAAGTATACGACTACCGGGGCAACCTCCAAAGACACACATACATCGAACAGGTGGCAGCTTATAACTGTGGGTGTGCAGCTCGGAGGTAGCACAACCTGTTGCGCTCAGCGTATGGGAGCATCCCAGTACAGCACTGTCAAGCGATTCCTATGTCCAGGCGCTCTTCTCATTCTAAATGTTTCAAAAAAGGAAAAAAAAAAAAAAAAACCTGGTAAAAATCTCCCCATTCCTTTAAGCTGCCATCCTCAAGTCGAAATTTTTCATAGAAATACAACATCATGGATTCCCAACTGTCGCAATTATACGCAAGACGTTTGATAAATTTCAGAAAATTATCAATGGCCCGTAAGTCGACAATCGATTCAATTATTGGAAGAACTTGACAAGCCCTGCAAAATAAGATAAGTGAAAAGAAAATTAAAAAAAACACACTAGTTCATCGGGTTTCATGGAAAACCCGCGAAAACTGGCAAAGAGAAGCAACTACAAATCTAAAAAAAATTAGCCAAGAAAAAAAAATCAGTACATTGTTTATGGCAGGCAGAAAAGGAAAGCGGAGGTGTATCTGCCTTAAAATACAAATGCACAGTAGAAGTGCTCCCTGGCAAAACCTGCAGAAAAAAACCCATGTTACAGAGTTCTAGCACATCGTGCCCGGCTGTGAAAAGGAATGGTTCGATCCCCTACTGATCCAAACTTATTTGCAAAAGAGAGCTCCGTCCACAACATCGAATAACAATATGAAGAGCGTTTACAGTTCTGGTTAAGTCTAATAAGTAATTTAGCAACTGTTATTGAAAATAAGACAGTAATGGTAAAGCCAAAATGAAGGATAGGGGACGAGAACGAGAAAAAAGAGTTGAGAAAACTAAGAAGAAAAATATGACAGCAATGAAAAAAATAAATAGCAACCCACACCAGATTAGCCGGTGCGATCATGCGTTTTGTGCAATTCAGCTCATCGAATGATTGCTTATTAATGATTTTCACTACTTTGTACTTTAGTCTACACAAAAACAGTTCAAACATTGGGGAACAGTTAAAAATTTCACGCACCAGCGCATGAAAGCTGAATTCGAAACCTTGAAGGGTGAATACCTTTCCGTGATTCCTGAGTTAACAGTTTACCCGCCAAAATTTTCACGAGGCCGTAGGTGATACTAAAGAGCGCGGGAACGCTGAATTTGGATGGACAAGGTTGAGCGTGGGCAAGGGGTCATTACCCTAAAATTTCAGACTCCTAGACTCTGTGGCTCCCGAGATATTAATTTACCCGTAAAAAACTTTCACGGGGCCGTACGTGTTACCCACGGGAACCGGAATGCTGAATTTGGATGGGCAAAGTTGAGCGTGGGCAGGGGGTCATTACCCCAAAATTTCAGACTCCTAGACTCTGTGGCTCCCGAGATATTAATTTACCCGTAAAAAACTTTAACGGGACCGTACGCGTTACCCGCGGGTACGGGAAGGCTGAATTTGAATGGACAAGGTTGAGCGTGGGCAGAAGATCATTACCCTAAAATTCCACCTCCTAGACTGTGTGGTTCCCGAAATATCAACTTATCCGTAAAAAACTTTCACGGAGCCGCACGCGTTACCCGCGGGTATGGGGAAGCTAAATTTAAATTTGCTATTTTGGGTCACACGCGGGTGAGGAACGTTCTCCTAAATTTCCAGCTTCCTGGCTTTTGTGGTTTCCGAGTTGAAGGTGCGGACAAGTTCTGCGGACACACACACACACACAAACACACACAGACAAACCCGTGACTGTTACACAGCACAAAACGCATAAAAACTAACTGCTGGAAACCCATACAAGCAGACAGGAATTTAAAAGTAAAATGTGAAAAATGATGAACATCCTGTTTCAACCCTAGGCTAGAAACTGTTTTTGTTTCATAGCTAGGCCGTATATGCAGAGAGATTAACAAAATGCGGGAGAGCCAAGGTTCATCAGCATGGTTCCTTTCCAAAAAGTGAAATTATACAGAGCAAAAAAGAAAATGCTCGCTTCCATGAAACTATTCAGGATCACACAACACTAGCTATGAAATTCTCATACCAATTTTTGCCCGGGCAAATTATAGACAGCCAATTCTATATACTTTTTTTAATTTTAATTTTAGTTCGTATATGTTTATGCAAGGAATATCAAAACTGTCTATGTGAAAAGTATGGAAAATCGACTCAAAAGCACTTACTTTTTAAACAAATCAATATTAAGCTTTTCGTCGAAATCAACTTCTGCAAGTCTCTGCATTTCAAAAATATCAAAATCATGGCATGATATTCTGTTGATCAATTTTTCAGCACTTAATACAAATTCCTTTACAGTATTTTTGGCAGTATCCTAAAATTTGGCACATTAGCTTTTTTTTTACAAAAAATGAAAATACGATAAAAACAAAGGTAGGCGTCAAAAGCTGGCGAGAACAAATCCTGGCATCGAGTTAGCTAATCAAGAGGGGACAAGATTTAAGACCACATTGACTGGATTCAAGGGAATTTCGAGATTACGGTGATCCCAAAGACTTAAAAGATTGGCCTATAGTTAGTAAAAAAGTTATTTTTTTTTTCAGTGAAAAAATTGTAAAAATGTGTAATAAAAAGCCTGGAAGTTGCTTTTGCTCAGTGAAATTTACCGACGCTCTTTTTTGCGGCTTTTTCGTCAAAAGCATTTATTCAGTAATGCATTAATCCAGTGCTCTATTCTTCCTTTTTAAGCAAAAGCATAATACAACACATATGTCCTGCTTGTTGATAAATCTGTTCTTTTATTACGGTTAGTGGGATGAGATCAGGTGCCACAAAAAGCCAGGTATTACACTCGCTCAGCAGTAAAAAAAAAAAAAAAAAAAAAAAAAAACAAAAAAA